GCTAATTAATAATACTAAAAATAAATATTACTGCTAAGTTTCTAAATAATTAGTAAATTTTCATACACCATAAAAAAAAAAAAAAAAAAAATCAATACTTATTTTGTTTTCGGATTTTCGTATAGCAGTATGATTAAAGCATTTCAATAATATTCGATAAAATTGGCGAAAATTTATTTAATCATATACACGAAATTATTTACTAAAAAAAATTTGAAGTGCTAAAACTCAAAAGAGCAAAATGTTAGTGTTAAACAGCGAAAATGACTATTTAAAAAAGAAAAACTGAAAAGAGCAAAACGTTAGTATTAAACAGCGAAAAGAATTATTTAATATGTAATCATTGCGAAATTTTTAGCCACTCTGATTAGTAATGTAATTGGTTTCGTCCAATGGAAAACGTTATTTGTATTCGTCTAATGGGAAGTGTGGGGAGAAATTAGTAAACCCTCATTTCTAACTATCAGATCTGTGCGACATTCGATTTCCCAAAATTGTTTCCAATTTACTCTTTTTAACCATGTCTAACGTCTATGAAGCAATCAATAAGCTTGATTCAGAAGAGGAAAGAACTGCACTACGAACCTTCTTCACTAATAATCCAGGAAAAAGAGCTGAAGCGGAACGCATCCTTCCTACATGTAAAGATAATGAGGTAGTTCCTTACTTCAAAAATCTCCTAAAACTTGGTATGTTCTCTTTTAACCGTGTCATATTCACTAATAACATCGAATACTAACTTATTCACATTATCGTAAAGCAATCTGTAGAATCCCCTAGTAAACGAAGAAAATATGGTGACGATGACAAAAAACTGGGAAAGTTTTGGAATACTTTGAAGAACGGGAAAGTTGTAAAGCATTATGGTGGCGAGTTTCTTGAATTATCCAGGGATATTTACTATCTTCTAGGCAAAGATGAACAAGGTTCCAATATATCCACTCTGTTCATCCGTGAATGTTATCGCCACCTGTCTAATCTTATTTTTGAGAATGAAAATGCCCACCGTTGGCGTATTACTGGCAATCCGGGAATTGGGAAAACCTTCTTTAGTTACTATCTACTTTATTACCTTTCACAAAAACAAAAAACAGTCGTATATCACAAGCATAACAAGTCTCCGATTCTCTTCAGTGAGGAAGGTGTTTTTAGTTCCCCCGATATTTATGCATTCAGAGATTACTTGGGAAATGAAGAGGTTTGGTATATCGTGGATGGTATGGAACCGATGGAATATGTAGGGATGTTACAGTCCGGTCTGGTCCGGTCTTGGTCCTAAAGACCGGTCCTAACAGAGGACCGCGGACCGGACCATGGTCCAGGACTGGTCCAGGACT